ATTGATCATATCTACCAAACACTGTCATCACCTCTGTCATGTTTCAATGCCAACTGCCACGTCTTTCAAAATTATTGGTAAAGTGTTTCTCACTGTTTCTCATTTGACTTTTGACTATGAAAATTGACCCCAAAAATCCATAAGACACACTCTTAAAAATAAAAATACTATAAAAGAATTAGAATTTCATCATCTGTATACTAAAAAATGGAAACAAGAGAGCTTAGCCTGATAATGAAGGAAAAAAGATGTAGCTGTCCTTCTGTGATGCCCAGCAGTAATCACAAATGCATATGTGAAGGGGAATTCAAAGAGAAGCAGTAAGCTCACAGATCAACTTGTGAACACCCAGGAAAAAAAAATGACAAGGGAATATTTTGGAATAACTAAATAAGAGATGATCATGTGTGGACTAGGATTGTCAATAAGGCTGAGAAATTCAGGCAGTATAACTGACAGGTTGTGATGATATATTGAATATAGTAGCTGAAAGAATGACTCATAGGTTTTTGCTTAAGTTCTAAGTTGGTAAGGGGAAGAGTGAAAAGTTCTAGACCAGTACAAATCAATAAATGTTTTTAGATATCTTAATTTTGAAATGGCTATTAAAAATATACTAGGGGATATTGACAGTGTAAGTTGCAGATACAAAACTGAAGCTCACAGTGGATACTGAAGGAGAAATTTACACTTATAAATGGATGAGATCCAACAAGAAACAGGTATATAGGGAAAAAAGCAAATTATATTGAATTTTCCTTAAAATAATCTGATAACATGTAGAAAATGGCAATTTTATTTCTTGCCTGCTAATATTTATTCTCTGCATTTTCCATATTTACAAAAATCTGTAGGATTTGAGGGAAAAAGTAGAAAACAATCGTTTTAACAGATACCATTATTTGTTCCTAATTTTAAAGACATATTTTGAATATGAGATCATTCAATGTTTATTTTCTCTGGGTTATTTTGAAGATAACTTCCCTTAGGTTTGGAGGTTTTTGTTTCTAGCTTCTCGGTAGTTTTCTTGCTATCATTTTATTTTTTTGCTTGTGAATATATATTGAATTTTCTTTCATATACTTTTCCTGCATCCATTGAAAAGATAATGTGATCATTCTCCGTTAACACGATAATCTATTTCAGGAATAACTTAACTTGCTGGTGATATATTCTTTTTAAAATAGATTATTTAGTTTGTTTTGGTAACATATTTTATATAATGTTTAACTATGTTAACCAATTAAATTAGTCTCTAAATGTCATTTCTAATGCTATCCTTAATGAATTTTTTTCAAGACTATGTTGGTCCCATAATATGAGTTGGAGAAATAGCTTTCTTTTCTATTCTCTGGGAAAATATATGTAAGCTCAGAATCATGTACTGTTTGAATTGCTGTAATAATATTTCAGTTATTTTTCCTGGCAATAACTATGATAAATATTTGTCATGAGGATGAGAAATAGGTACCCAAGATATTAGTGATAACAATTACCCTGACAGACATCATTAACTGGTGGCTGGTTTTCTTCAAAATATTTTCTTCAATCATGAAAACCCTATGGGGTAGTTTCTCTTACAAGCTTTTATAAATCATACACCACAAGCTTAGAGAAATAAAGAGTCCTGAGGTCCTGTATTTAATACACAGTAGAACAAAGATTTCACCAAAAAAATGTCTCACTTTAGAATTCTGGTTTTAATCACGTACTTTGATAAATTTATTATAAAAAGGGAAAATATTCTGTGAATTATACTCTTCTGTTATGTGAATTTGCCTGTGATTTATAGTTTATATTCAGATATCTTTTATAAATATTCTTCCTGATTCCCTCTATATTAATTTGTTTAGCTTCCATTCTTGGTAATATGAATGAAAGTTTATCTTTTCTATTGCTCAAACCACATGGATCAGAACTTTTTCTTATTGGATCTGATCAAAGTATAGAAGACTGTTTTAATTATAATTAATAGCCTAAATCTCATGTAAAAAAATCTTATGTAAAAATTTATTCAAATAAGAATGTAATAATTCAATAATTTTATTTTCACAAGAGAAGTATAAAAGGTCTGAATTGTAAGTGTGCATAAAATAATAATTGCTATGTTGTTGTTGTGTTTTGCTCTCTAATATTTAATGCATAAACAAGTTAAGTTTATCCATTTTACACATCTTTTAATAAAATGAATTCACTTTTAAAAATGCATTACATTTACTAATGGCAGGAATTCCACAATTTAGTGGAAGTTTAAGAGGCTATGTACTGGGCTGGGGATGTGGCTCAAGTGGTAGCGCGCTTGCCTGGCATGCGTGCGGCCCGGGTTCGATCCTCAGCACCACATACAAACAAAGATGTTGTGTCCGCCGAAAACTAAAAAATAAATATTAAAAAAATAAATAAAAAATAGGCTATGTACTGGAAATTAGAATGTCTAATTCCATATCTTATGAAAATTATAAAAGTGTTTATTTAATATTCAGGCAAATGCAAGGTTAGGAATATAATGAATATCATCCAGTGAAGATGACTTAAAAATAAAGCAATTACTATTTTATCACATATGATGTTAGTATTCTATTGCTAAAAAACAAATAATCCCTATGCTTTATAACAAAGAAAACTTATTTCTCAACATAGTGTGGGTTAGTATGATTCAGTGAGCTGATGGGTAAGGAAGTTGGGAGCTGAATAGGCACAATGCTGGGATAGATATGCCTCACTTTTCACATGACTTTCCATCCTCAGAGAGGCTAAACAAAGCTCCTAATATGAGTACATAGCAGAAGCTCCATGGCTTTTCAGTGTTTTCATTATGATATCATATGTTACAGTATATTGGTCAAAGCAAACCACAAGGAAAACCATATTCAAGGCTGGAGAAGTAGATTTCTACTCTTTGTGGATAAAAAGCCAGAAAGTCCCATTGCAAGGTGACACACACTCAGGGAGTATGGTTCATGGGGACTACTATTTTAAGCATCCACACAAACTAAGCAACATTTTAATATACTATCCTTGTAAAGGTAAAGCTCATAATTTTTTATGAACTCATGCTGTTATAAAAATACATTATATTGGGTTTGTGAACCTTATATATCACTGCAAGCTTTATTTTTATGACATTTTAAAGAAACAAGGGTGCTTTCATCATTTCATAATATAAAAAGAACTCCTCAAATTTCAACAGGTGTCAAAATGAGAAATATTGAGATAAACTATTAAGATACAATTTTATTATTTCACTCATTTTCACAATTGTAAACTAAAAATTTAAAAGATCAATGTAAATAATGCCTGTATTTTTATATAAAAATAGATTAGTTCAGCAAGTTTGATCTGTGGGGAGTATTTCCATAGCTTACTACAGAAGGAAGGAAGAACTGAAGTCTATTCTCAATTTTAGTTATGAAACATTCAATATTACAAATTGTCCTCCCAAACCACACATTGTAATTGTTTTAAGATTTAGATTCAATACTCATTTAGTGAACATTGAATGTGTTTCAGATTAGTATTTATTTAACATAACTGATGAAGCAGAAATACCATATATATTATGATCTTTTATAAAGAAGAAAAATAGGGCTCAGAATACTAATTTGCATGCATCAAGGTTAAGCTATAGGACCGAATTTTAAATTCATATTTTGGGGACTCTGCATAGTGCCATGTCATTACCGCTATCCTAAAAATTTTGTCAAAGCAAATAATTCCCAGGTTTAATGAAAAATTTTCAAAAATATCCTTTTTTTACTAAGTGATAAAAAATGTACTTTAGAGAAACTACTAGCATTTAGTCATTGTTAATTACATGTGTACCAGGGAGTAGGTGGCTTACTTTACTTGTATTTTTCCACTTTGTTCACAGGATCACTTACAAAAGATGTACCTTTAGTTTTAAGTTAAAGCAATAGGATTAAAGAAGCCCTAGCACTATCTCAGACCATTTAAATCAGAATCTCTCTAATTATTACTTTAAAAAAAGTCTTCCAAACAGATATTAATATGTAGCCAAGTATGAAAGACATTACTTGAAGTTGTTCACTCTACATTTTCAGAAAAAAAAATAATGATGCAATGGAAGGCTAGCATATATAAAACAGAAGAAATAGAATAGCAATAATCTCTTGATTTTCCTATTATTATTTTAATACTTTAGGGTTAGAATTTTTTATTTCAATATCATATGCTAACAAGTAAGCATTTTAACATTTGTGAACAAGTCTTCTGAAGGAAAAGCATTTTGCTGACACATTGCTAAAATTACCTACATTATAATAAATTTGATGTTTCAGGCTATTAAGGTAAAATATAAAACACAATACAGTTGTTATATTTGGGGAACAATATGTATGTGATTCACTGCCTGAATTAAAATTAGTTCCTTTCTCCCATGGAAGCATTTAAGAAAAAAATAATCAAGCACCACTTCATTGTTCAATTTCCTAACAATTCAAAGGAAAAAAAATCTCATGTGATCAATTCTCTTAAAAGTATTGCTTTCAAAAAACTCACACAGATATCTTTTTCTTGAAAATTTTCCAAAGTCTACACCCCAAATTAAATCTATTTAAATGTACCAAAACATGTTAATACATTATTCTATAGTGGGACAAACTTATCTGTGTTTTAAATAATCTATAGGAAAGTATTATTCTATATATATACTTAAGGATAAATGAAGAAAGGATTTGAAATGTGTGTTCCTATTGTGTACAAATCAACTGCCAATCAACTTAGGTTTACAAAGTTATCCAGTAAGCTGAATTCTTAAAGTCACCAAGTTACATTTAAAAGTAAAGGATCTCTCCCCAAATTATAGTTTCATACATTAAAGTGAGGAAATTCATTTACAACAAGTAAACGATAAAAAAGAAAATCCTTTCTGTTTTGTAAGATGAATACATTTAGTTGCTACTAACTTCAAAGACACAGCTTTTAAATTACAATGAGAGCTGGAAGAAATTCAAAGAATCTCATTCAGGATTAAAACTTACCAGCAAATTTGATATGGAATTTATTTTCTGGCTTTAATATCTGGACATACAAAGGACAATTTGGAGCAAAATCTTTTACAGCCCATGCCCTCAAAATAGTCTGATGATCCTGAAATGACAAAAAGTCAAAATATTATGAGAATAATTTAAAAAATAATTTAAAAGCTTCAAATATATAAAGTAAAAATATTCAAGCAATTGGTGTGTTAAGTGATCAACTCCATAGTTCAAAACGTGTACAAACATGACCATTTACATTGAGGACACAATAAAAAAGGGTAACAGTAAACTGTAAAAGTAATAGTAAACTATAAGAGTAAACAGTAACTGAAGAAGAGGGTAACAGTACTTACTTCAATCAGCACTAATTATAGCAATTAGTTCAAAATTGAATAGGTAGACAAATGCAAAAAAAAAAAAAGTTTTCTAAAACACTCCTGTGAGTCAGAAGCCTCCAGAATTGCAGCACAACTAACACAGCATTTGACCTAATAGCAATCTCTATGGAAGAAAAAAATATTGACTGATATTATTAACATGTTTAGAAGGAATGGTAAAAGGAAAACAACTACAGTGGCCATTTATCTAAAGGACACATTATTTCACATTTTTATGCAACAGTAGAGGTTAATGGATTTAACTGTGTGTGTATAAAGAAGAAAAACTTGTATATATAATAAAATAGAAAATGTTTGAATGATAAAACTTAAAAAAATCCAATTCATGCTTAAAATGAAATCTTACAATACTCACACCCTAAATAATTATATAATGAATTAAATAAATCAAGACAGATTTTTAGAGAACTATGCCTCACAGTTATAGTTAATACATTTTTTAAAAGAAGCACAAAGATGTTTTATATAGTAGCCAATAGTCACATGCAGATGTTAAATTCTATTTAACTAAAATAAAAAATTCTATTCTACCCATACATCACATGTTCAAAGTAACATCTGACTAGTGGCTGCCATATTGGACAGTGGAGATATAGAGCAATTCCATCATCATAGAAAGTTCTATTTGACATATTGCTGGGAAAGAAAGGAATATCAAAGCATAGGTAGATATGAGGGATTGTTTATCTAAATGCAGAAAGAAATAGTTCTTATAAAAGTTGGTACTTGCTTTAGACTGAATATTGGTGTCTTCCCCTGCTCCCCAAATTTATATGATGAAATCCCAACTCCAACTGTGATAGTATTATAAGATGTGGCCTTTGGAGATCATTAAGTCATGAGCATCTTACCCTCATGGGATTGATGTTCTTATGAAATAGACCACATTGAACTCCCAAGCTTCTTCAACCATAGGAGGATGCAATATGAAGACAATGTCTGTAAACTAGGAAGTCAGTTCTTACCTGACTCCCCTAGTACCTTGACTGCAGGCTTTCTAGTCTAGACAATTGTGAGAAATAAGTTTTTGTTGTTTATAACCCAGTCCTTCTATTATATTTTTTAACAGCAGCCCAAACTAAGATTGTAATTGCAAATTATTTAAATATTTATGAATAGAAGTCCAGAATAGCTCCAGTGGACAATGTGCATACTCAGAAAAAATTAGTACATGGTGATGACTCTAATAATGCTACGGATTCACCAAATGGTATCTGTTGATTATGTAACACATTTAAAATCTGATGATAAGATTAGAGGTCATTCAGGAGTGCTTGGTGGTTGTTATTTCTTTTAGTAAAAGTAAAAAACATGAATGGTAAGGAAGAAATTGAAAAAAAAAACACTATTAAAATAATATATATATATATATATATATATATATATATATATATATACATATATATTTTTTTCATTTTGTTTAGTGTTGTGTTAAAGAAAGTGGGCATTTTTAGCATTTTAATCCTGCTTTTGACACTTAATACCTGACTGGACTTGGACAAGGTAGAGTTGCCAATTTGAAAAAAATATTTTTCTACCTTATAGGATTTCTATCTTATAGAAATATATACATAACATAGAAAGCTCTTATCAAAAACTGGAAGTTAGCTAACGTTGGATAAACATAAGCTTTTTTTTATATGTGAATCGTCTTAATAATAGGAGTAGTATCACTAAGGATAAAAGTTAAAGAACATGGATGGATTTCTTAGCAAGAAGATATTAAAATGAGATTTGCTTCCTGACACCACAGACAAATGAAACATTAATAATGAAGGAGGGAATACCAGATGCTAGGAGATCTACCAATAAGGAAAAGTAAGCTCCTCGTAAATTGTACTTCTTGCAGATAACAACTATAAGCTCTGGATTAAAATCTATAAAATCATCACACAAGGGATAAAAATGAAATAAAATAGGCAGTTATTGGGGGAAACTAAAACTGGGAGGAAGAAACTTACATGTCATATTTTTCCCCAGTTTTGTTGCTTTGACCTGAGAGCAGCTGTGATTATCACAGCAACACAGGGTGACAAAAACTTCATAGCAAGCCTACAAGAAGAAATAGGGAACAGAGCCAGGCATACGAAGGGACGCAGACTTGAAAAAGGGAAAGACAGAAAAGAGAAACCAAATATATTATGTATACATTTATACACCTTTGGCTAACCCATAAGTCATTCATGCCCATGGGTTATAATTGTAATCTGAACTGATATTTGAGCTACTTTCAACTTCCAGGGTGATAAATTTTGCATTTTCAGCTACACCAAATGAAATTCCCTCTTAAAAAGAACAAAACCACTTTTTGGAGGAAAACAAAAGGATTCATGGCTCCACAACATGATGCAATACCTGCAATATCCACAAGCAATGCAAAATTGCTTAACATAGGAAGTGCCATGAAAATGTGACCCATTTTCATAGGAAAAAAATATAATGATAACTAATAGATGTTAGCCTTTACTGTCTGGATGCTAGAATTATCAGACAAGAAACAAAAGCCACTAGTACAACTATGATCAACATAGTAATGCAATATATACCTGTTACAAATAAAAGGAAAGCAAAACCAGAGTAAGAGAAAGGATTTTGAACATCAAATAAAAGAATCCAATGTTTATGAAAAATATTCACTGGACAGACTTTGAAGAAGAAAGGAAGACAGAAGAAAGAGTCTGCAAACCTGATCATAGATCAACTTATCTTATTCAATTCATAAAACAAAGAGAAAAGTAAAGAACAAAGCAACAGTATTCAGTCTCTTATGAAACAATGTAAGATAGCTCTTACATATGTAGGTGGATGCCCAGGAAGAAAACAAAATTGAAAAAAAGGCAGACAATGATTTGGAGAATAGCTAAAAATATCTCAATTTTATAACACACACACACACACACACACACACACACACACACACACATTCATTGAAGGAGCTCAGGAAACTCCAAGAATTCTTGACAGAACAAAAGAAAGAGAGTCATACGACCAAGGATTCACATCAGAAATTATTAATCCAAGGAACAATGGTATAACTGTACTAAAGTTCAGAATGAAGGAAAAAAAAAAACAGCCAGCATTTTATATCTAGAGAAAATATTCAGAGAAGGTGAAATAAAGTATTTATTTAAAATAAAAAAATCTATTCTTTTTAGATATACATGACAGTAGAATGTATTTTAGCAAATTTTTCATACATGGAGTATACCTTATTCTAATTAGGATCCTGTTATTGTGGTTGTACATGATGTGAAGTTACCCTGGACATGTATTCAAATACAAGGTACATCTAAAAGGAACAAATAAAATAAGAAATTTTAAAATAAATAATAAATAAAATAAAATAAAGAAATCTAAGCAAATGTACTGTCATCGGCATCATACCACAAGAAAAGCAAAAGAAAATTTATTAGACTTCAGAAAAAGGATACTGGGGAATGTTAGAAATTCAGAAATCAAAGAAAAGTATCAAAAGTGGTTAATGTTTGAGTGACTATAAAATAATGTTTTCCTCCCAATTAAAATATATATGTCTATATAATGAAAAAAATATGTTTTCTGGAGTTTCATAATCTATGTGAAGTATTATTACACTTTATAAATGCAACAAAGAAATCGAATAAAAAAGTAGAAAGGGGGAATTAGAGAGAAAAAAGTAAGAGGGAACCACAGAAAGCATTTTTGGTGGATCTAAATCTCCACAGGAAAATGACTTTAAATGTTTTAATATGTCGAATACACATATTAAAATGCAAAGATTATAAGAATGATCGAAGTATTTTTCCAGATTTTCAAATTTGATTAATATAATATAAAATTATACAGAATAATGGGCTTCATTGTGGCATATTTGTGCATGCACATAACATTTTTGATCATTTCTACCCCTAATACACTCCTTCCTACCACTCCCAGATCTCCTTCTTCTTCCTATTCTCTAGTAGTCTCCCTTCTACCTTCATGGTATCTTCCCCCTCCCCCAAGATTTCATATGAGAGAAAAGTAAGCTCCAAATATGAACTACTTAGAAAAGCTATATTTTAAATTTAAAGTTATTGAAATGTAAAATTAAGTGGATTTTAATACAAAAACAATTAAGTTTCAAAGTGTACACAAACATTTGCTGGAAATAGATGGAACTGGAGAACACCATGCTAACAATAAATCACACTCAGAGAGTCACACTCAGGGGCAAATGTATTCTCTCACATGCAGAAGATAGGGAGAAAAACAAAATATAAAAGGAATATAATAAAAAATAGTATGGAGACCAGAAGAGTAAGGAAGGGGGTTGAAGGAGGGAGAAGGGGATTGGAAAAAGGAAGTATTAGGGACTAAAGTAGAGCAATTATATTCTGTGTACTTGTGATTACATCAAAATAAGCCCCAATATTATGTACAACTATAATGCACTAATGAAAACATTAAAAAATACACTAAATATATTCTTACAGATGTCCCAGCAATTGGGGTCCTTGATATTTACCAATCATTTGGTTTATGTCCACACAAAAATCTGCACTCAAATGCTTATGGCAATTTGATTCATAATTGCATACATTTGAAAATAACCAGACACCCTGCAATAGGTAAATGGATAAAAAATTTATGCTACATGGATGCAATGAACTAGATGAACTACTCATCAATGGAAAGAACATAAGCTATTATATCAGGGAATGATATGCAGGAGCTCAAATGCCTACTACTA